TGTCAACCGCACCACTCAGCTTGGTGTCATCTGCAAACTTGCTGAGGGTGCACTCGATCCCACTGTCTCACTATCACTTATTTGGTACATTCTTTTATCATTATTATTATTATTTTCCCTTCCTTTTCCGTCTTATTGAACTGTCTTTATCTCAACCCACAAATTTTACTTGGTTTTTTTCCGATTCTCTCCCCCATCCCACTGTCAGGGAGGAGCAGTGAACAGCGAGCAGCTGTGTGGTGTTTAGCTGCCTGCCAGGTTAAACCACAACATGCACACACACACATACTGGTTCTGTAAAAGCTGTTAAACCTGCTAAAAGCAGTGCAGCAAAGACTGCTTGCTTTCCTGTGTTCCTTCTTCCAACTACAACAAAATCTAATATTCAAACCCCACATATTTAAGACTTTTAAAAGGTGCTCTTTAGATGTCATCCATACTATTACATATTTTTGTTTTTCAAACAGAGTAAATCTCACATCACTTGATTTACAGATGGGCAACAAATCTAAAGCACTATTGATATAACTCAGTTTTGTATGTCTCAAACTGAAATACTGTGTCTCATCTTCTAGGAACCATAAATTCTAGAGATGGCCGATTAACAAAACCTGCAATCATATGCTTAAACTTCAGGCCTAAGACTTCTACTGCTTGGAATTAAAGCAACTGTTGAGTGATTCAAGACAAGCTGTGAATCACTTTGTGAGAGTGGGCAGTTACAAGCATGTGACTATTTTAGAATTACTCTAAACAGTGTGATTTACTAGTGAAAACAAGATCTAAAGCTTTGATCATGACAGCCTATGGAACTGAATTTACTTTCCTGAAAACTTAAACTTTTTGATCCCATTGTTTAAAATGCAACTCTAGTCATGCATTTTATGAAAAGCACTCATGAAAAGCAAGTAGAAACAGCAGAAAGAAAAAAAAAAAAGCACTGTTGACATGGAACATGATGAAATGCTAAGCAGATGACGAGATCTAAATGTGCTGGCTGTGGGTAAAAAGACCCCCAAAAATCTTACACTTTAAACTAAACTTCAGTAAAAAAGCTTTAGGAGCAGCTGGTCTGTAGATTACAAACATTTTAACAATTTGTAGGAAAGCTGAATTTTGTAGAAGAATTCTGATTTTGCAAACATCTTGCCTTCTCTTGCCTTATACAGATGTAACCTAACATTTTTTGTAATATCCAGCTGTAAATTGTAGAAGACCTAGCTAAACAAATGTTGTTTAAATAAACGAAAGAGAAAATATGTTAAGTAAAAAAAATAGCATAATGCTTTACTGGTCTTTGCCAAATATACATTTTTATTATGAAGTTATGAATATAATATAAAATTAGCCAAGTCCATGCATAGGTCTTAAAACCGTCACCCCTCTGCCCCCCATCTTCTTTTGTGCCTTCAAAATTGTGTTTCAACAAATATAAGTATTATTTATAGTTAGAACTCATGAAGTCAAGTACAACATCAACCACACTACAGTGCTCGAGTGTGCAGGAGACCATACTGGCAAAAATTATAAGCCATTAGTTTTGTGTGGCTAAGTGCCATTAATTGGCTAAAAGATTTCTTTCTGTTTTGATTAACACAATGTTACTGAAAACATTCAGTGTTTTTCATGCCCTCAGAGGCGCAAAATTTTAATTAATTGGAAAACTTTTTTTTCCCTCCATCAACAATTGCCAGATATTCAGAGAGTACTTTGAGGATATCAGCTTATCATTTTACATTGCATATTACACACTGAACACAATGAATGTACAAATTATGTGATGTTTTCATATAATAAAGTTATGTTCAGGATAAATAATTCCACAGTATATAAAAATAAGAACTTTGGTTCTCTGAAATCTTTTTAAGTATTCAATTGATGAGATCATTAGAACCATCACTGAAGTTTTACCTGTGTCATTACCACAAGATAGATTTATTTTTTTTAAAAGCATTTCAAAGATATGCCATGGGTGGGCACCACCAATTAACTCACAATTGAGTTAATTTCTCTTTATCTTGAAGTACTTTAAAGAGATGATAACACCCCGCAAGGATGGCTGAATGTTAGGAAGCTCATCTATGTAGCTAAGCCAAAGGACAGTTTAAAGGCCAGTTCAACAGCAGCTTCTGTGACTGAGTCATGAAAACAAACATAACACTCCTGAGGTTTTGGATGTAGAATGAGTCTCCTGGAAAAAAAAGAAAGAAAGAAAAAAAAAGAAAATTATCATAGGTCTTAGTTTTTTCTTCCTCAACTGTTTGATATATTCTGGTTGTACTCTGAGTTTTCAGTAAGATGTTAAAAACAACTGCTGTGTAAGACAGCTAGCAAATTTCTGGGGCTCTCCTGCATTATCTTACTTCTTTCAATACATTA